TGTAGCTTTGTGCGAAATTCAAAAACAAACAAACAAAGCAATATATTCACTGTTACAATACTAAATCCACTGTGGTTATGTTTTGTGATCGTGCACTAGACTGTGAGGCCTATGTGATAGTTAGGAAGCATTGACTATTATAATTCTACAAAATTCCCACTATTTTACTTGGTGTAACAGGCATCGGAACAGGAATTTTGGCATATTAATGACTGCAAATTTTGTAAAGTAATGAGAGCGAATCCACTAGGTTTCACTGTGAATGACGATTAAAAGTCTTGGAACAAGAAAATGAGCAAATTAATCGAGACTGTACTGTATTATCTGTGTGAGATTGTGATGGGGATGCGTTCCGCGCATTGTTCAGGGAACTGATTGCGAAACTAATGTACATCTCTATGTGCCCATTGTTATCAATCGATTATAAATGGACAGGAATTCAGAGATCTTGGCAGATATTTTTGCTCAGCAGGCGGTTATGTTGTTTGATGTTCACTGTTACAAAAATTTTAAGAGTAAGGTTCATGCTTGGTTACAAAATAACCATATGGGATGTTCAGTCCAAAACCTATATCCTAGTCTTGTATACCATGTTTAGTACCATTTAGAGAGATTACTTCGTATAGTTATATGATTTAATCGTCAACTGCCAATATTCTTCAAGCAATGAAGGGAACAAACTAGTGAGACAGTTGTTGAATAAGGTTAAGACCATATCTTCCAGAATAGCAGCGTATATTCTGATCAACTGAGTGCAACAACGTATTAAGACGGTAAATACTAAGATCTTCCTATATAACTGCATGTACTGATACGTCTGGCAGAGCAATGTGTATAAAGTTGGTATTGTGCCACATCTGGAAATAGATTTTTCAAATGCTCCTTCATTTGTTGTTAAGAACAAAGTTTTACAATGGGCTATCTGTAATCCGCCCACTTCGGGTATCGAAACTCCATTTTTAGTGTTTTAAACTCAGAAATACCGCTGAGCCGCTGAGGACGTTTCAAAAGTTCTATCAGAAAGAGTTTTTATGACAATTTCTGAATAAAGTTTTACATACATTATCAATTTGCTTATAATGTAACTATCTGAAAATGCTCTGTTGTACTAATATAACTGCTACAAGCTTGCAAGTCGACTATACGTAACCTAAGATTAGTTTGCAAGTGGAAAATTTCCTCAAAATCCTAAAGTTTTATACATTTCAGCGCTGAACATGCCTGTCTAGCTAGACTTAACATGTTAAAATCTAAGCTCAATAAGTTTCAACTTGCTTAGAATCAAATTTATAGAACTGCTTTACGACTTCCAAAGTGTGTTTCGAGAAAAAGAAAAACCTATAAATTTTTGGATATTCCTTTGTTGTTATATAGACTTTGGGATTGCTTTAATTTGTTCGAAAAAGCAATTAAACTAGAACAATCTTATACCACCTCTTAACAAGTTAATACTTCGTGATAACAGTTTTAGACTTCAGTTTCCCTTAAACCGTTATCTCCGAGAGTAAGTGGCCTTTCAGATATAACGCACTATGAGTGAAATGTTACGAACTGGAAGATATTTCATACACGTTTTAAGTAAAACTTAGATAAGTGAGATAACTTCCAACTTCATTATTTGTTACATTCATGGACAATAACTGATAAAGGCCGTGTCAAAGTGTTTTAGCTACTTTTGACTAACGATTTAACTTGTCAGTCAGCACTGATAATACGCTGTTATCAAAAATTGGAAATTCCCAAATAATAACAATAATGCATATATGGAGAGAGACCCGATAAACCCAGGATGCAATATAAAGCCAAATAAGATATCTTCGTTATCCATCAACAGTGGTATAGGCAGATTCTGGCTTTTAAATAAAATATTACCATTTGTTGTGTGACATTTTTAAAGAAAATGAATAATTTACGAACCTACTCTAACTCCAACCTAAACTTTCTCCAAGCAGTATTAAAATGTTCTTACTGAGCTGTTCTAAACCAAAAACTAAAACTGTGAACAACATATTTTATTGCTGCTGCGTTTCTCCGATAATCCAAGGATACAAAGAATTACGATAAATGCAATATTCATTTAGTGTTTGCGTATTTCTCGGTAAAAATGCTAAGTAAATAAAAACTAAATATATAATATTTACATAAGCGAAACGACAATTCAAAGCAAACTATGCATTTTATTTTGTGTCAGTTAAATGTTGAACTTTTGTTTTAGAAAGGTATATTTTAAATACGCTAAACATATTTTCTGGTAGGGTATTACTGGAATGTCACGAAGAGCCAAAATTGAGCAGTGGAAGAAAAGAAAGACATTAATAGCACTCGCGTGTGTTATTTTGCTTTCGTGAAGAGTATTCTCATAAAAATAAGAAATGAATTACAACTAGGTAGCTTTATATAAAAACAAAAGAGAAAAAGGACCAAATTCCAAGAACAAACTGTTACATCCTAACTAATTAATTCATGCGTAATAATTGTGTGGTATAGATGAGAGTATTTAGTGAGGCAAGTGGATTCTAAGCTAACATATTAACGGAATATTTAAAGTAACAACAAAAATAATATTTACGTTTGTTTCATTTACTGATACTTACAGGTTTTAGAATATGTTTCAACCTCATGGCTATAATAATAAAATAGTAGAGATACTGTTTGTTTGTTTGTTATGAATTTCGCGGAAAGCTACACGAGAGCTATCTGCGTTAGACGTCCCTAATTTAGCAGAAGGAAGGCAGCTAGTCATCACCACCCACCGCCAACTCTTGGGCTACTATTTTACCAACGAATAGTGGGATTGGCCGTCACATTATAACGACCCCACGGTTGAAAGGGCGAGCATATTTGGTGTGACGGGGATTCGAACCCGCGACCCGCAGATTGCGAGTCGATGCGCCCTAACCATCTGGCCATGCCGGGCCTTGGAGATATTGAAGTGATTGTTTCTGTAGAAGGTGTATTGCTATGTATACATCTAGATTACCTGACAAAATAGAATCCTCTCAATGATGGTAACATTGTTGCAATGTAATTAAACAATAATTCAAATCGTTCAATGCGTCACTTTTATATGCAAAGCTTGGCAAGTCGTTCAGGTTCTCTTGAATTTCGCGATCTTTAAAGGACATGGCTTCCTTTAACCAGAGTCAAAAGCTAATGCAGTGGTTTTTGCGTTGTGGATGTAGGTGTGGATCAAATTTATCATTACAACAATATCCGCGAATCCCTTGATTTTTGTATTTAATAATAGAGTCTTGTTTTTATACAACAGACCGTTCAATAAATGTGGAGGCCCTGCGTGAATGTAGGTACGTATTCTTAACTGTACGTGATATTGTCATTTGTGGCAAAATCTGAATTATTTTCATTTCACACGTGTTGACAAAAATCGCATGGATATCACAGTTTCCATATACATTTTATTTTGTTAGCGTAGCACCACGTTTTATGATTTTCAGGTTTTAATGTTTGATCAAATTATTTTAACAATCACTGTGTATTTTAAAATATAAAAGTTTAAAGTTAACTTAAGAACTTTGAGGAAATCGTTAAAGAGGAAGTATTAGATTAATGATGGTGTTTATTGCAAAGGTAAGTATCAGAAGTATCAATAACAATGATATGTACAATCAGGGCATTCTTTATCTCAAGAATTTGATGACACTGAAAATGATTCTTAATTATAAGTCAGTGATCAAACAATATAATCTTCAGAAGATGAGTCTTCCTCATCTTGAAGCCGAATATTAATTTTAGATACATAATGGTGTATCTGTAAAACACTAAGAGTCCGGTGCAGTAATATTCGCGGAATCTTGACATGTTGAATCATGTGTTTTCACAAATAACAAATCTCCATATATATAAAGCATACGGGCCACCCCCCAAAACAGTTGAAGCGAAAATGATCGTCAAAGGTTTCTATTATATGTTACAGTTTTCAGTGCTGACTGAAGGATAAAAAAAACCGTTTGCAATGAAGACGACAAACAACTTCAAATATTATTTTTATTCTACCCGACGTACTTCTCTGAAATAATAATAATGATTGTATCCTGTGACGTTCATAGACACTTGAAACCCATAACTGCCACGACAATTGTAATTACATTTATTTATATCATAATTGAGGATAATATTACGCGTTAAGCATGAATGGATAGATGAACAAGGTGAAAATGACCTTCACTAAATGCATGATGAGTAATGTGTAGTTACCGCTAAATTACTGATCACCTTTGTTATTAAGCATCCTTTTTGATAGTGAATAATCAAACTAAATGTTATTATTACCTGGAGTGCAAAAGTCGATTTTTTTCTAACTTTCTTGGCAAAATGACTTCCTATCGAATTGGAGAACTAGGGAGTAAAAACCAAAAGGTTATATAGACTTAGGAATGAAAACAAGGGTATATAGAGAACAACAGATTGAAAATACAAACTCGAACAGTGTCTATAAAAATAACATTATTTTGGAAATATTGTACTGTATATAGTTAGTGTGATGCATAGAATAAATATCTAGAGTTTGATTAATATGAAAAACAATGAGTATTTGTAAATAAAGTCAAACTATATTGTATCATGATTACTTAGTGTGAAGCATACGATATACATCTTGAATAATTTCTGTTAATACCAAAAAACAATTATTCTGATGTTATGTACAAAACTCTCTGTGCTTTGTCCGCTGCGGGTATAGACCCTCAATTTATTTTTCCGTTTTAAGCCCCTAGACTTACAGTTGAGCCACCGGAGAGCAAAAAAAAAAAAGAGTGCTTTTTGTTTGTCTTATCGCACAACTTCATAATAGAACAGCGTTTCTCCACCTCTTTGATACCAGAGACCGTTTTGCTTCCTCCCTAAACTGTCACGAACTGATAAAATGCAAGTACAACCAAAACATGTCATTTATCTTTGTTTATTTGTTTTCTTGAAATACCACGGATCGGCAAGATGGTTGAGTTTTAGTGTTCTAAGTTTATGAAGTTACCGCTAACTCACCGGAGTACAATGAAGCGAAAATATAAAATAGAAGGTTAGCCATAACGATAATACAAAATTAATGTATCAATAGTTATATATGTATATATATATATATATATATGTGTGTGTGTGTGTGTGTGTGTGTGTGTGTGTGTGTGTGTGT